TTGGTGTTTGAGTTTCTGATGATTCATAAAGTAAAGTTGTGATTTTTATGCTGCTGGGTTTTGTGGGGTTGGATGTTGGTTTTACCTAGTTTGGGTTGGTTTTAATTTGTATGGTGCTTGAATTTTTGATGTTTTGATTGGCGTAAGGCAGTGATTTTTTCAGATAGTTTGGTATTGTGGAGTTTGATGTTCTTGGTCTTCACTAATTTGGGTTGGTTTTGATATGTATATGTTTGTTTTAGTTTAGATGGTGTTTGAGTTTTTGATGATCCATTGGTGTAAAGTTGTGATTGTTTTTATAGTTGAGGTTTGTGGGGTTGGATGTTGTTGGTTTTTACTAATTTGAGTTGGGTTTGATTTGTGTATGTTTGTTGTTAAGATGGTGTTTGAGTTTTTGAGGATTCATAAAGTAATGATTTTCAGACAGTTGGGTATTGTGGGTTTGATGTTCTTGCTCTTAACTAATTTGGATTGGTTTTTATTTGTATCTGTTTGTGTTTGATTTAGTTTAGATGGTGTTTGAGGTTTTGAATATTCATTGGTGTGAATTAGTGAATTTTTCTGACAGTTCGGTATTGTGGGGTTTGATATTCTTGCTCTTTAATTAATTTGGGTTGGTTTTGATTTGTATCTGTTTGTGTTTGTGTTAGTTTAGATGGTGCTTGAGGTTTTGATGATTCATTGGAATAAAGTAGTGTTTTTTTTCAGACAGTTTGTGGGGTTCGATGGTCTTGCTCTTCGCTAATTTGGGTTGGTTTTGATTTCTATATGCTTGTTTCAGATTAGATGGTGTATGAGTTTTTGATGTTTCGTCGCCGTAAAGTAGTTATTTTTTATAGTTGGGTTTTGTGGGATCTTCACTAATTTGGGCTGGTTTTGATTTTGTATATGTTTGTTTAGTTTAGATGGTGTTTGAGTTTGGATGTTTTATTGGTGTAAAGTAGGGTTTTTTTCAAACAGTTTGGTTTTGTGAGGTTCAACGTTCTTGCTCTTTGCTAATTTGGGTTTGTTTTGATTTGTATATGTTTATAAGTTTAGATGGTGTTTTGAGTTTAAAGTAGTGATTTTTCAGTCAGTTGGTTTTTGTGTGGTTCAACGTTTTGGTTTTTGATTATTAGGTGTGGTTTTAGTTCCTTGCTTCACCATTTTGATGGTATTTTGAGTTTTTGATGTTCTGTCGGCATAAAGTAGTGATTTT